TGTAGCATTGATGCAAAAAGCAATAGAGACTCGTTACCTAACTGTGGATCGTCGGTATTTAGACGTCATTAGCGACATTCTACATGTTACGGACGGACGCGCCCCAAGTATGAGGTAGTCCTGTCTAGTAATGCGTTCGTAAAGTATTTATAAAAGTATTTATTGTAGGTACTTACAATTGTAAGTAATTGTGAACAATTGTTCAAACGGAATTTTTTCTTTGTTCTAAATATGGTATTTTTTTTAATTGTATATATATATGGGGTGGTAAAAACATAAAAACTATTATCATTATCGCCGTCATCTCAGTCATTATTTGTCCACTGCTGAACATCGGCCTCCCATAAGACTGCCATAAAGAACGGTTCTAAACTACTTACATCCACTGATTTCAATAAAAACTATTGTCGTTCATCATTAATGATATAATGTTATTTTATAGTAAAATGTAAACTGTCAGTTCTGCAAGTAAATTACTAAATAATAATGAAAAAATTATTTACCCCAAACAATAACAAGTTATATAGTGCGAGTTACACTAAAAACAGAAATGTAGAGCCAAATCATGTCTGAATGATTTATATATACTAAGATTGAACAAATTCCATAGTATTTTTTTAAAAGCTTAAATATTATAAAAAAGTTAAAATCTCATATTAAAAAAATGTAAGTTTTAGTATTGTGTATATATAATGTTAATCTATAGATTAAATTTACTCACGACTTAGGTAAATTGAGGTTGAGATTATGACTTACTATTTGACTTTGATTAAATATTACTATTTTTATCACTGTAATAATTTTTATATTTTATATGTAATATTATGTGCTATATTATCCATAGATTATTATAATAAAATTTATTACTTTAAACATTTTTTGTTTTTAATCATATTAAACTTTGTTTGATTTAGACATAAATAAAGGTCATCTAAACGTGTATAGAACATCTCTCCATCGCAATTGTAATATTTTTGTGCTAAGATGATTAGTGTTATTAGAAAATAATTATTATATTTCTTGTTATATGTTGTATAAATATAATAATAAGTAAACCCGAATCAGCTACATAATTATTATATTTCCATTGTTATATATTGTATAAATATAATAATAATAATATAATAGATAAAAAATCCACAGCTCTTAAAAAATAACTTACATGCTATGTCTCTTATGAATACAACCAATAACGAATTTTATTTCTACAAACAAAAATTTTGATTCCAAAGCGAGGTAGACAAGTTAGAGTGGGTGTATGCAAGTAATATAAGCACATGTATGAAAGAAACCATATATAATAGTGAGTGTCCATAAAGTTAATTGATATATGAAATAATTAAAATCCATGTTGCTAAAGTTCAGATATTGACAGCAATGATTAAATAATACAAATGGAAGTAACAAATACAAGTGAACGGTTACGCCAACACTGTCATTAGTGGACTAGTCTTTAGAAAGTAGATGTACAATGATTGTCCACAATTCGACACGATTAAATTGATTTTTGTTTTCATAATCAAAGGTTACAGACATTAAGGTATCTATTTGACTAGTTTGGATGTTTTATTTAAAAAGTTGATATAACAAGACTACAAATACGTAATTATTAAATTTCAAAAAAACAAACTATTAATATAATAAAGCACTTAATATTTGCACTTATTATTTTAATAAACAGTGCAATAAAGTATAAATAAATAGATATATATCTTATTTTCATATAATAATATAATATAAAATAAATATATACAATGTTTTAGGGGATTTTTTTTTCTTTCGTCTGAATGCCGTTTTCCTGGCACCATGTTTACGTTTGTTGTCTGTGTTTTTGTTTGTATCAGTGTATAATTTTTATAAAACTATAATACTATTTTTATTCATGTGTAAAAATCAACTGAAATGTGTAATTAAATGAATAGATTATACCACTGCACAATTGAAACAAAATTAACCAAGTTCAAGCTTATCTCACACGCTGAGATTTCTGTACGTAAAATTATCACATAAATAACTTCTTTTTAATTATAAAATAAAAAAAATTGAATATATAATTATGAGATAAAATCTGAAAACAATATCCTTATGTCAAAATTTATTTATTGTATTTTTGTATATGAAACAGACATATAGTAATAATTATTCTTATTAAAATTCGGAATATCTTATTTCTAGTCATTAAATTAATTACATTCATATAAATGAGGGTAAGTATTTTTTACATTTTTTATCATAAGTTAAATACCTGTTCCGTTATACGTACAAAACCGTGACATAAGGGTTTCTTTGTGTCATTTTTGTACGGAACCCTAAAAGTGATAAATATTCGCGGACAATACAAAATTAACCGTGACTCGTACCGCATCCTCTTTATTATCAACGTTTTGTAATATTTTTATATATTTTATTGTTGATAATGTTCAATGTCACCTAGATATTAAAATTTATGGAATTTGTTTTATTTTTCTGTATGCAATCTTATATTTTGTATGACAGTGTTATTTTTTTTTAACTAATACTATAATTCATCGCTAGAGTTCATATTGATGACGAGGCAGCATGGTCTCCGACCTTAGCCTGTTTCACAACGGAACAAACGTACTAAAAAAACAAAGCATCGCTAGACCTTAATATTTCACGCATGACAATGTGGTCGATGTCATTCTTGGAATTTATCTGTAAAATTAAATTATTATTTTATTTTACAGATTAATTCCGAGATTCCAATGTTTATTCTCTTAAATTATTTACAAATAATTTATACTATATGTATGCTGTATCATTGATCTATATAGTACAACTGCAGACACATGCCCGAACTAATGCATCATCATTAAAATATCATGGAAAACTGGATCATCTTTACTTGCCAAACTCTGCTGAACATAATGAACATGCTGATAGTCGTAAAGACCAAATGAATCATCTGGTTATTCATATCGAAGCAAACACGCTTCGTCAATGTCACAAAAAATGTTTGACACGTTGGAAATGTGATGTTGTTGTTGCCATTAGTTGTCACGCTTGACAGGCGGATTAGCAACCGCAGTCTTTGGTTATGTTTCAAAATGAACGCTGTTGCTCATCCCTCGACCATTAAGTTCCCTTATTTGCCTCTTATATTGACCACGAGAAGAAAGCGATGGCCTATTCTATGCCGAGATTACACGGTAAAAAACAAAACGTCACGAAACCCTCGCGTGTCTCTAAAATTCATGTTTTTTAAAACATATGAATTTTAATTTATATAATCAATTATAAATATAATCATTACATTACTACTATTACATAATATAATATAAACATGATTTATTGAACGTTGTAAGGCTATCACCATTAGCTATTTTAGTGGAATCCAATTTGCCTCTGGAGGTGAAATATAATTTGCGCAGTAAAGGCCCACCCACTCATTAGCAAAAGCCTAAACTTTTTGTCGGAATTAAACTTTGCATACATGATGTCATTTCGGTTGACATCTCTCAAGATAAGATGGCGATCCCCTATGTTGACATTCATTCAGTAATCTTTATCCGAAAATGAAGTCGACGAATAAATTTTTGCTCAAGTTCATAATATCCATTTGCTGAAACATAATATTACAATTTTCATGCAATCCATGGTTTTAAGACTTCTAAAGGTTGTCAATTTGTATTTTCTTTATTACGTTATGCGATTTCTATAATATTTCTGCATTGATTTTGATAACTATTTTGATATTGTTTGAAATTTTTAGAAATATTTTCATATTTCGAAACATTATCTGCTTGAGGGAAGTTTTTTCACTTTCACGAGTGTTATCACTGATTTTCGGAATAAATTAAGATTCAATTTATATATATTTTTTTTTTATTATTTTATGCGATATCTATAATATTTCTGCATTGATTTTGATAATTATTTCGATATTGTTTGAAATGTTCAGAAATATTTTCATATTTCGAAACATCATGTGCTTGAGGAAAGTTTTTTTTTTCAATTTCACGAGTGTTATCACTGACTTTCGGATTAAATTAAGATACGAGATAGAATACGAATCCTATTCTCTCTGTATTTACTGCAGCTGTTTTCTCAACATTCATGCATCTCGTCATGTTTATATACTATAGTGACTTCCGTTCTTTGAAATTGATATTAAAAACGCATACCCGGTAATAAAATACCTAATTCAAAATGCAATGAGTGGAGTATTAGAATTGTGGTCGTACAACGCTGATGATTCACCGATGTCGTGGCGTAATACCATTTACAAACGGTGAAATGTAGTATGAAACAGTTTGTCTAAGACGTCCTCATCAATGACTCATCTGCATAGACACCAATTTGCTTGTTGTTATTATTTAAGTCTATTTTTTATGCAATCGTCCAATTTGTATGTTTTTTAATGGGGCACATTTAATGGCTATCGATTGTTCGATACCACGTTAATTATTATTTTTGTAATATAATGAACACTGTCTAGCTGAATTAGTAGCCTGTAATCACTATGAATTACGTACGGATTTATAGTATTTCAATTCCAAGGAATAAAGTTCCATGAATATTCGCTGGTATGTTCCTAATTATGAAAAGTATACAGGTATATACTGTGGCTTTGGCCACGTGAATTAGCATAGATGTAATCTGTGGTATGGTTTATATGTGTATTAAATTACATATAATTCATTCGCTTATTTTTTCACCGGTATGAAAAAAAAGCTCGGTAAGAGCTTTTTTTTTCACACCGGTGAAAAAAATAGCTACTTTATACCTTTTCATATTTATAATAGTGGTAAGATGTTATCTACAGTTATAATAATTTGTAAATAAAAATGCTATCGCAATACTTATTATATTTTGTAGAATTATTCAATTACATTTGATACTTCAGGTGTACCGATATTAAATAAACAATGTATGTTTATTTCTTACTGTATGACGTTCTTTTCGCGCCCTCGCCCCCTCTAGTCTCTATTCCTAATCTAAAGTACATAACGGTCCAATGTGGTTACGAAAACGATAGTGCATGCCAAGCAAGGCTAACTGACAGACAGTCAACCGTGATCGTGGCCGCAACCACACGTGTACTCGGCCCCTTAGCATGCGAATACGCATTCGCGAAATCGCGATCCCTTTACTACAGTACTTCATAATTTATTTTCTATTGTTTACCTATGTATAAACAATTCATTGTGATAAATGCAATCAACATAAAGCAGTGTTTTAATATGAACATTAATTCAAGACAATTGTTTATTGGTGAAGAAATATCGAAAGTGAATGATAATAAGATATTAAAGATAAGATTACAATAAAAATAATTACAATAATATAGTTTATCATATGGTGCAGTAACAATAGAGTGCGTCGTACAAATATCACGTCCTTCCTTTCTATTGATGCTCAGACGATGCAGCAATCAAGAATCAACCACGGGAAGGTTGTTTGTTGACGATCGTCGCTGTAGTGGGAATGCGAAAACAGTGCTATGATCATGTTGTTTGATTTCTCCGAATGTGCATAATAGCTAACTAACAATCATGGGCAATCTATCCAAATTGGCAACGCCTGACAACAGTGGCGATGAGAGTGGAGATGCTTTCACAGATGGGGACTTTGATAACTCGGACGAAGAGACTGTCGTTGAACGGGATGAGCAACACAGTCATACAAATATGACCGTCAATGAAGCTGTAAATATTGAAACTAAGAAGATGAATGTAGAAACTGTCAGTGAATCAGATACTAATAACCCAAAAGATAAATGTACTGGTGAGATCAAATCGAAAATTAATGGACATAAAATATGTGATGTTGGACAATCTAGTGACGTAGATAATAACGTTAATGGCAATTATGGAATGTCTGACGTGCGTCGCGATTCACACGAGGAGCAAAATCCATCAATTGTTGGAATCTTGGGTGGACAGCAAAATCATGTAAGTATTACCACCTACCTGAGTCTAAGCATATCCCATCTAATGTATTTGTTTCAATTTAACAGGGGGTGTGTATTTCGTACACAATTACAATGAAGTAAATTAATATTTTACAGTATAATAGTATACCTTTCTTTGGTAGCCAGTTACTTGGTGCTTGTTTATTAATTTCTAATAGGTCTTCTTTCTTTTCATTTAAGAGTTTCCTCTTGTTTCCTCAGTTTTATCCCAGGCCATGTCCTTAACCTTCCTATACGACATGACACCTAGTGTTTCTTTTATCTGTCCCGTGCAGTTATTCCTCGGTTTTCCTCTTTAAAAAATCGTCATGTCGTATAAGATGGCCCAGCATTTTGCCTCTTCTATTTTCTAATAGATATAAAGGCAAAAATCTAAACTAATCTGGTATCGTACAAAAAAAGTACTGGATTTACGCACATAGATTCCATATTTTATGTTACCTAACGCGAATTTCCGTTTAATTGACATAAAAATAGATTTTTTTTTTGCTATTATAGCTATATAAGAGATTATCTTATCTAGTTTTATACTCTTCATAAAATTCTATTCAGAGGCGACCAATCGACAAACAATTGTCTCAGATGTTTGTTTTATTTATCAGCTCACGAGTTTAAAGGGTCTTCTTTACATACTCGTATCTGTATATTACGTGCGACGCGTGAGTTGTGACATTTTTGCAAGGTTACTACATAACTATTTCGTGACTGATAAATTTAAATGCGAAATGTCAGGACAGGCACAGTGTGTGGTAAAATTTAGTTATGATTATAGTGTTGTAGGTTGTGTTACAACTGTACTAGTGCTAGGAAACACGTGTTGAGACTGCGGTGAAGCAACCTTGAGCCTCCTGTACTGATGACGACATGGTGTCTCCGGAAAGATTCCGTATTCCGTTCGTACACTCATAATTGTATGTTTTATTCGCATCTGTGTTCTGAATTTTGAAGCTCATGCGTGAGCCGGTGTAGTTCCGTGGTTGCGTTATTATAGATATTTAAATACTGTTGCTAAATGTCAACAAAACTGAAATAATTCGAGTGTGGTGTGGTAGTTAGTACAATAGTGGCATCAGCTAGTAACACTTGTGTTCACGTCGCGACTACCGTCTACGAGTGACCTCGTGTGCTCCTCGGTGCTCGGTGACCTCGCTGGTGCCGCGAGCCCGTCTCCTAGTCTTGACATGTCGACGCCGGAGATCATTTTACGGATTGCCGGTAGATTGCTGTTCCTCTATGTGAGTATTGAATTGTTCCTGGCTGTAAAGTCTATATTCCTCTAGCAAAATAAACAATTCAAATCATAGAGACAATAATACCAAAAAAAGATTGTCCGGATGCGGCATAATTTTCTCACTACTACAACGGTAGTGTTGTTTTTTTTTAACAAAGTTTACACTTGTTACTTGTCCCCGATTCTAAATACAAGACGCATATCGCTAAGTATATTATAATGATTCAATCGATTCGGCTCTGCTTCGTACGGTCAAGTGAAATTTTTGAAATTAATATACATTACTAGCTGGTAATGTAGATTTAAAAAAAAATCTGTTCAGTACTTTTTGAGTTTATCATTACAAATAAACAATGAAATCTTTACTCTTTATAATATTAATACAGATAAACGTAAAGAACTTGTTGAACTTTTGTATTAAGTCGATAAAAGAACGCAAATATTACCCTGAGGATTTGTTCTAACACTCCTCACGTGATCATCTTTTTTAATAGTATTTAATATTTATGGATAGACTATGAGTTTTTTTTTTTTAATCTTACGTAGATGCTTTAATTCCCTTTTCAGGCACTTAGTTTTGTATCATCATCATCTGTTGAACATAAGTCTCTACCATAGACTGCCATAGTTTTGTATATTATTCATGAATTATGTAACTAGGCGTATTTATATATGAAACAAACAAAATGAACGTTTGAAATATTCATGTCTTAAAATGCCTGACAACATACTCATACATATCGTTCCAAGACCGTAACAAGTAACAGATCATTTGTTTAAATGTCGTGCACTTTCCAAAACGGTATAATTTATGTACATACATAACAATTTGTAACAATCATCTTGTTTTTCAAGATAACGTCTTAGTTACGAAAATGACTTTAAGTTATAGCCGATTGATTAAAAACTTGAGGTAATTATTTTAATATTTATCTCGAACTAGTTGTAGGTATTAGTTATATCACGGTTTCGTTGTCGTCTTACATTCCTCTGGTAATTACACGAAATCTTTTGTTTTTGGATGGCTACGTTATAAAATAAATATGCGGTGCATTGATCTCTCTCTCTCTGTCGGAACAAATCTTTTTTTATAATATGGATAGTAGACTAAAAATGTGTTATATAAATAAATTTATTATTTATCTATCAATGTATTCAATTCTTCCGCGATTGAATCGAATATAAGGCTTAAAAGATATCTAAATGTCCTCTAAAACTAATAAAAGTTAATCTAACTCTTGTTTTTGTTATAGTATCATTTTTAATATATAGAGGGAGACCAGAGGGAGACTTTGTACAAAAGTCGATTGCTTGGGTACCTCTGTCCCATTCGTGTTCCTACCGTGAAGCAGTTGTGTTTGCATGGTTGTGTTTCGGTTTGAAGGGTGGGATATGGCGTGAATTTACAGGGTACAGAGGAATAACACCTGAGCCCTCAGGAATGGCAACGCATGGGGGTATCGTGGGCGAAACAGTATACTCTGTTATGTCCACGGTACTGCTCATGCCTATAGGCGACGGTTATCACTTTCCATCAGGTGGGCAGTTAGCTTGTTTGCCATTCTAAGTAGTATAAAAAAAAAAAAAGATTACAGACCTATAATCGAAATGACTATATCAATTTTACAGCGCTGCTGAGTAATGCATTCGATTAGGTTTTTCGATAAAAGGAAGTCAATATTATTTAGCAATGCAAAAAATTTAATAGTCCGTCATTGGACACTGTCATATGCCATCAGCTGCGTCGAAACAATAGCTGATTCATAGTAAAGCCATTTCTGTATAGTATTTTTCTTTGATGGAATACAAATAAGAGAGGCGGAAAGTAAAATTGTTATTTTCTCATTAAAGTTCTTGTTATTTCTTTATCATTATTATGTTAGCCATTTATTATCTATTTTTTTGGCATTTTTAGGGGCATATAATTTACCATTATCGAATATATATATTACAATGCGAGTTGGATCTGGATACCTTTGACTTTACCCTTGAATAGTCCGGCTATCCGGATAGATTATGATAGTTCCGGCTGGAATTTTTAGTTCACATTTTATGAAACAAGTCATTTCTGACATTTTTGTTGTACAATTTGATTTACAGTAATTATTATTTTGTAATTTGTTAAAAACTGAACGTACATAAATGTTCTCTAACTATACGAATGATGTAAGTTAATGGTTTATTATGTTGTGTCTTAGAAAAAGATTCTGTGTAGATTACAAAATGTCCATTTTTTTTTTAAATATGAATGTAATGCAATATTTATTTAGTAAGGTATGTTGACAGTATAAATAGTAAATATAAAACATGATCTCTAACAACAGAGTGCACAACAAACAGATCTATTAAAGGTATGATAAGGTATAATCTTTCGATATAAAAATGGGTGTTGTTATTATGTATTTAATAATTTATCACCAGTGTACAAATAAATGATATGTCGGGGCTGAACCTGACTTCGGATTAAATATTAATAAATGAAATATTTATTTTCCTCCAAGTTTTGGTGCAAGCAGACTGGAGTAAAGTAAAAATGACACAATGCTTATTGTATCTCGGTCGGCGTAATATGTTTTTATCTATATTAACCAAGTTTTTGACTTTCACAACTGATTACCTGCCTGATGTGAGTCCTCCTTGCTTTTTTGGTGGTATCCACCACCTACGGTACAGAGAAAAGGATCGAAGAAAAAGGAGGGAAACTTTGAGAGTGAGTAGTGGAAGTTGGTAAAAAAGGAATGAAGGATTTATAAGGAAAAGAGAAAGACGGAAACTGCAGTTCCGAAGGGGATACTGCTCAAAAACTGCAGTTGCTCGGGAAGCTAATACTCTAGAACTGGACAAATTAATAGAGAAGTAAACACTTATGGTGTCTCACTCATGATACTTCTATCCCATGGTATGTCACTCATAGTATCTCTACGTCAGAGTATATTTTTATACAACTTAAAACTGTAAAAGCTTACGTCCCCTCTGATGGAAAAGTGGTAACCGTCGTCTATAGACATGGATATCAAAAAACACTATCGCTCATGGTATGCCTTATGCGTTGCCATTCCTAAAGATTGAAATATTATGGACATGGAGGCATCCTGTACGAGGAACATCATTGCTATACAATTATATTCAGCTCTTTTGCGTGAATTAATCAATCGTCAATCGATATATTTATTGGTGGTAGACACTGGTAAACACACGGCGCGGGATTATCGTCCTCTAACTGGAACACCTCTGCCGGCAGACCGAGGCAGGCTGTGTAGTGCGAATGATTTCTCGTTTGATTTGTTATTATTTACTCAACTGCTGGATAGTAATGTTATTTTCTCGTTTGTATGTAATTTTCTGAGTATGTTTACCTCTTTTGCGACGTAATCGCATAACACAGTTACGAATAATTGCGGACAATTTGAGAATGTCCTTTTTTGAAAGTCGCTTAAAACACGACTGTTGAATTTTACAGTGTTATCATAAAAATAATTTAAACCATTGTCTGTTTAAATAGAGTATAATAAAATTTTAAATGATTAAATATAGTTCAGTCGGTGTAATAATGTTTATTGATAATTTTTAACCGATTTAAAAAGTAGGAGTTTTTTTATACCACTGAGGTGGCAAACAAGCATACCGCCCAACTGATGATAAGTTGTTACCGTAGCCTATGAACACCTGCAATACCAGAGGTATAACGCGCGCGTTGCCGACCCTGAAGATTCTGAAAGTTCTCAATTCGGTTGCATTTTTTTTTTGTT